TTTCTATTAATTAGCCAGTTTTTGATCCATAAAAGGACTTGTCCTTTTATCCCATGATTTTTGAGCTTACTTAGGAGCCTTTGATGAGGAACTTTATCAAAAGCTTTCTGGAAGTCAAGGGAAACAATATCTATTGGATCCCCCTTGTCCACATGTTTGTTCACCCCCTCAAAGAACACTAACAGGTTAGTGAGACAAGATCTTCCCTTACAGAACCCATGCTGAGTCTGCCTCAATAGGTTTTGTTCATCTATGTGCCTACTAATTCTTTCCTTAATAATGGTTTCCACCAATTTACCCAGTATCGATGTCAGACTGACTGGCCTGTAATTTCCCAGATCTCCTCTGGAACCCTTTTTAAAGATGGGAGTGACATTAGCTACCTTCCAGTCCTTAGGAATGGAGGCAGATTTTAAGGAAAGATTACATATTTTTGTCAGGAGATCCACAAGTTCACATTTGAGTTCTTTCAGAACTCTCGGATGTATGCCATCTGGGCATGATGATTTATCAGTTTTTAAGTTGTCTATCAGTTTTAGGACCTCCTCTCTCGTCACCTCAATCTGACTCAGGTCTTTCAACACCCCTCCTGAAATCAGAGGTTCTGGAGTGGGCAAGCACTTCTCATTTTCCACAGTGAAGACAGAGGCAAAAAATGCATTTAGCTTCTCAGCCATTTCCCTATCATCCTTCAGTACTTCTTTTACCCCTTGGTCATCCAAGGGCCCCACTGCTTCCCTGGCTGGTTTCCTGCTTCTAATGTATTTGAATAAAGTTTTATTGTTCTTCAAATACATTAGAATCGCTGTGTTAAGATCGGACCAGGGCTTCAGCCAGCCCAGCTTTCTGTTTCCAACTGTGGCCAGCCTGAGGCCTCTGGGAAATGCACAAGCAAGGCAAAGATGGATTTTCCTTGCTTGCCTCTAGCACTTGGGATAGACTGCATCTGTATATGGAGGTCCCACAGTTGTATGGATTTGTCCTCTATGAATGGTGTTGAGTTTGCTCTTTAAAGGCTATCAGTGCCTCTTGCATCCAAGAACCTGTCAAAGCCATCAAGTGCTACACAAAGAAACATGCCCAGAACCCAACTGCCAAACAAATTAACTGATAATTTCTGAACCATTGTTCAGTTGTCCAGTCGCCACCAAGCTCGTGTTTCTTGTTCTGTCTACAGGACAAAAAGAACTCCCCTCCTTGTCTCCAAACAATATCATCTTTGTACCACCATCAGCACAAGCCCTATGAACCTTCCCACACCTTTGAATGGCAGACTCCAGAGGCATCTTACAAAACAGTTTCTGGTGGCTGCCCACACTTTAAAAAGCTGCTTGCGGCATGGCACAAGGAGGCAGGGGGCACTGCACTCTGAGAAACTTGTTTGGGTTTTGCAAAGAGTTGGGCAGGTCCGTCAGTCTTGGCTGACGTTTTGCAAGATCCTAAACATTTAAAGCATTTGCTGAAACACACCCACCACCAGCAGCACACTCCACGCAAACCACACAAACTGCTGGTTTATATATTCTCAAAAGAGGAGTGGCTTTTTCACCTCTGTCCCAGTAGCTCTTGGTACATTCTGAAACCGGTTTTGCACTCAGCATCATGTAATCCTATTAAGTCTGCCACACATCCTGTGCCCCATTTAAGACCTTTGCGGTGTCTTCAATGATCAAAGTATTTATAAATCAACTTTCCCAACAATGGCAGCTCAAGGAAGCGTGCAACCGGTTTTTTCACCAGGCCCTGAAATCTCTCCCTGTCTCTCACCCATTGCCCCCCTTTTTTTGTATTCAGCATCAAGCCTGAAGAAGTAGTTTGTGGAATTCAAAAGCTTATTATTTTATATTCTGACCCGTCCTAGTAAAAAAAGTATTTTGTGACACTTCTGGGAATTAGTCTATGGACCAATACAGCTATTGGCAATCTCAGTTCTTTAACGGCACACATGGTAGGTCACTAGATGTTTTCACATTTGTAGCACAAAACCCATCTCGTTCGTTTTTTAAAAGTGTTGCCCTCAGTAGGGTCCCCAAACTGCTCTAGAGACTCTGAAACACAGCTGATTAAAAAGAGAACTCACACACAGCCTGAGCCATTTCCCTTGAGCTGTTGCAATCGATCCCTCAGCAGCTTTTTAAGAGACTCTAGAACAGGGGTGTCAAACTCATTTGTTATGAGGGCCAGATCTGACATAAATGAGACCTCGTTGGGCTGGGCCATGTGTGTCATAAAAGGTAATGCCAGGTAGCAGAGAAATAAACTTTATAAAGGACACAAACACAAAGATTTTTTTAACTTAAAATAAAAACTTGCTTAAAACATTAGCTCTGTAAGCTGCAAACCTACTTTTGATTTATTGACATTCATCACAGAAATCTCATGCTCAGAGTTCTGAGTCTAGGAACCAGGTTAAAACTAGAAATGGCTGAGCAATTGAGAGAGTCTGGCGAAGCAAGCTATGATGCAGCAGCAGAACTAGGAGCAGGAGATGGACAGTTCTACTGCGGGCCTGATGGAAGCCCTCCGGGGGCCTGATCCAACCCCCGGGCTGCATGTTTGACACCCCTGCTTTAGAATTTACAAAATCACATGAAAATTCGAGGGGAGGGCTTGGAAAGGAAATACCCAAAGCTATCTGTGCACACAAACCTTCCAAAACTGCACCTATTTACGCGCAGAGGACTTCAAATCTCAAGCAATCTCAGACAAGAAATTTGTACTCCCCGATTGCTCGGGGAGAAAGCATTACACAAAGCAAAGTACTTACGTTTTGATGTTTTCGTGGTACACCTTCGTGTCTGATGGCTGATTATAAAGTGGCTGCGGGACAGAAAGATGTTTTATTTGCATTTATTGTGTTCGCATCTGAAGCTACCTTACACCAGATCAGGCCATTCACTAATCCAGCTCAGTACGGTCTCTTATGACTAGCCATGGCCCTCCAAGGTCTCAGGAAGAGAATGCTCTTTCCCAGCTCTTCCCACCTGAGATCCGGGAACAGGTGGTGCTGAGGATTGTTCCTGGGATGTGTGAAGGCCGGGGTGTGTGTGTGAGTTTTTTCTTCCATGGAGTCTCTCAATTTTTCCAAGGGAAAATTGGAAGAACAATGAAAAAACTATTATTGATTTTTTTCTTCTTCTGGAATGAGTGAGATACTTCAAGACAAGGTTTTACTCAAAGTGTATGGCTGCAGCATAAATATATTTATGGACACTACCTGCAGCAATGGATGAGAATTCATACACGTACTGTGTGTTTTATAATTGCTATTTATGTGATTTAATCTTTTATGTAAGCCACCCTGAGGCTGCTTCGGCAAGGAGGGCGGGGTATAAACTGAACAAATAAATAATAAATAAAAAGCATATACAACATCTTCTCAAGCATATCTTTAATGTTAAATGTTAGTAATTCCAGCAACAATTAATATGCCATAAGTATTTCATAACACATTAACGAGTTCAATGTTTCAATGACAGAGTTTAGCATAACCACGTATGCCAATAGACCTATTGTGACTCTGTGATTGTTTGGACACAAACAATTTGCTTTCTTTACTACAAAATCTGTTTTTCAACTTTCAACTTTTATTATTTTTTTCCCTACCTCTCAGTTGGCATACATGAAGGTGCTCATGTTAAGGGAGCATCAGTTTGAGATGCTCTCTCATGTTCTGAAGTTTGCAACTTTTACTTGCAGAAGACTAAAGCAATTATAATTTTACATTGCATATAACAGTTTTATATGCTCAGTTACCAACAATGAATTTTGTGTTCTTAAAAGCAACAAATAAGTTTGATAGGAAAGTAAGCATTGTGTGTACTGAAATTCTTCCCCCCCCAAAAAAATGTTTCCTCAATGGCTTTAAACTTTCCAGAAATAATATTTTGTTTATTTAATAATAATATTCCAGAAATAATATTCCCAGAAAAATATTTATCTGGGACTGGGACTTTCTCCGTGCTAAATGCAAGATCTGCCACTGAGCCATGGACCTTCCCTGTAAAAACATATGATGCCAGCTATTCCCAAGTCAGTAAAGGTAAAGGTTCCCTTGCTCGAAAGCCAGTCGAATCCGACTCTAGGGTTGCGGTGCTCATCTCCGTTTCAAAGTCGAAGATCCAGCGCTGTCCAAAGACGTTTCCGTGGTCATGTGGCCGGCATGACTAACACCAAGGCGCACGGAACGCTGTTACCTTCCCACCGAAGTGGTACCTATTTATCTACTTGCAATTTCTTGCTTTCGAACTGCTAGGTTGGCAGGAGGGAGCTGGAACTAGAGATGAGAGCTCACTCCATCATGCGGCACCCGGGTCTCGAACTGCCGAACTACTGACCTTCCACAGCCTGCAGTTCAGCGTCTTAACCACTTGAGCCACCGCAGCTCCTTCCCAAGTCAGTACTGGTCCATATAATTCAGTTCCATCAATGGCTCTGCAGCATCTTCCCAGTCTAGCTATTAATTGGCATTGCCAGAGACTGACACAAGGTCCTTTGGCCTGCAAAGCAAGCACTCTACCACTTGCACCAAAATTCCATATAACATGCACATAGTGTACAAAATTAAAGGTTAAAATAAATTTGCTAGAAAGGGAATCCAAACAAGACAAGCACTATAAATAGTAGGAGCAAGAGAGCTCAGTGCCCAAATGCAAACTGTTAAATGGCTGGGAAAACCGAAACATCACACCAATGCCTGAGTTTGGGGTCTGGCGGGTCTCCTTGGGGAGCTAGTCTACAACAGCAGCAGATCTTACCAAGAAACCCAGCTTTCAGCCTGACAAGACCTGACTTTAGGATAGAGCTTCACATTTAGGTTTTCTGATAACAGGGGCACTTGTGGGAACATTTCCCAATATTTCAGCTTCTTACTAAGAAATATTTCCATTCTGTCTTTCCTTTCCAGAGCTAACCCAAAGTGGTTAGGAAATAACCAACAGACAATAAAATAAAATTATTGCAGACCAAGAACCAAAAGAATACCGAGGAATCTGTAAAGTGGGCCTAAGCCTGACTTTAGATCAGATCTCCCAGCCCAAGACACTCGGCTGAGTCACACGTTGTGTGCCAGCCGAAGTTTTCCAATAATCAAAGGCAGGCCCACATGGAAATAGCCTAGTCAGCCTGCAAACACTGCAACTTTTCTCTTTAAAAATCAATGCCCGTAGGTGACACATATGAAGCCAGCGGGAACCAAGACAAACATTGGCCGGGGGGGGGGGGATGCAGATTCTGAGTTGCCCCTTTGAAGGAAGATCTACAGCCAGTTAAGAGGAAAAGCACCAAGAAGACTGTCGTGGGGCTGCTTACCAGTTCGACTTTGGGACCGAGGCCTTCAAAGATCCGATGAGCTTCCTCAGCTTTTTTCTGCAAAGGAAAGGGTAGCGTTCACTTAGCCAGAGAATGTAGAACCTCTTCAGAGGCTCCGTCCTTCCCATTCCCCCTTTTTCTCTAGGATTATATTGCCAGTGAGGTGCTTAAGGGAATAGCTGCCAGTCAGGCGATCCCTTGGGGTTTAAGCCAAGCTTTTGTCTCAGCCTAGACACTCCCCACCCTGATGTGCACAACCGGGCTAGCCCAACATCATCAGATCTTGAAGGCTAAGCTGCAGCATCCCTGGTCAGTATTTGGATGGGAGACCACTGAGGAATAACAGAGATGTTACGCAGGGGCAGGCAATGGCACGCCAACTCTGAACGTCTCTTGCCTTGAAAACCTGACAGGGCCACCAAAAGTTAGCTGCGACTTGATGGCAAACCCCCCCCCACACACACACTCTCGCTCAGCACCAAAAGCTTTGCCTGTGAAACACTTAGGAATCTTACACAGACCAGAAACCTTGAGAAGCAGGGCAGCAGTAAAATCGTGAAGGCTCTGCTGGATCAGACCAAAGGTCTATCTGTTCCAGGCATTTGGCTCACACAGAGTGGGCCAACCAGATTGCCACCTGGAAAGCCCACAAAGAGTGCCATGGGGACCAAAGCCCCCTCTGATGTTTCCTTCCAGCAACTAGTATGCATAAGAACATAAGAACATAAGAGATGCCAATGTTGGATCAGGCCAAAGGCCCATCCAGTCCAACACTCTGTATCACACAGTGGCCAGAAATACCAGATGCCATCAGGAGGTCCACCAGTGGGGCCAGGACATTAGAAGCCCTGCCACTGTTGACCCCCCCCCCCCAAGCACCAAGATGACAGAGCATCACTTGCCCCAGAGTCCCTATCTATACCTTGTGGCTAATAGCCACTGATGGACCTCTGCTCCATATGCTTATCTAATTCCCTCTTGAAGCCGTCCATGCTTGTAGCCGCCACCACTTCCTGTGGCAGTGAATTCCAAGTGTTAATCACTCTTTGGATACACTGCCTCTAAATAACAACAACAACAACAGAGGTCCCCATTTGGCCACAGGGGCCAACAGCTACTAACCTTCCCCCCAGAGGATCACACGGCACCTACCCCTACTGTGTTTTAGGTGCCAGTATTTTAACTGAAGTTTTATGAATCTGTTTTTCTATTTTATGACCTTTTCCCACCTGCTAACGCTTTTATGGTACACTTAAGATTAGTTTCTACTGCTATGGGCTGTCTTTCATGGTTTTGCAACTGCTAAATTTGGAATGTTTTTTTCACTGGGGATATCAGTTTTGTTGTGCTGTTTCTTCTTGACCATGGCACAGGTGGATTTTTAAATTGGGCTATCATTGTTAGATGCCTTGTGTGGGTTTCAGGGCAGGGGCCACACAAATCCACCAAATAAAGCAGCCATTGATGGACTTCCCCATGAATTTGTTAGATTCCCCCCTTTTAAAGCTATCTCTACGTCCTGGAGCAGCAAGTTCTTCATGTGTGCTGCAAAAAAGTCAGTCTGTCCTGAACCAAAGCTTTGCCCCATTTCCAGAATATTTAGAGAAATATACTATCAATTTCCAAAAACTAAAAGGTCAATTAAAAATGCTCTTACCCCATGTGTATGGGCGTAGTTTCACACACAAAAAAGGGGGGGGTTACACTAGGGGAAGGAATATGTGCATTTAACTAAAGAGGATGGATTTTTAATGCAGTTTTCAATATTTATAATTTTATTAAATTTTTTGTGATTCTATATAACTGCAGCTCTTCTGGGATTGACCTTGACATTTCTACATACAAAGCTTTTCTTCTCTTTTCAACCTCTTAGATTACCTAGTTTGGTCTGGGTGGAAATCCCCTCCCCCCCCCTTTGCTTATTTGTGATATGAGAACTGAGGCCAGGGCATGGGGAGGGAAGGCACACTTGGGTGCTGTTGAACCACAAGTCGTCCCCCACTTATGTACAACCTGTGGCTCTTTCACGTAGTCTTAATTTAATGTTAATAAAAAGCAAATTTGCATCTCTTTCAATAAACACGTGCGTGTAATATTTATTTATTTTTTATTTATTTTTGTGATTTCTATGCCGCCCTACCCAGTGGCTCAGGGCGGCTAACAACAATGTTTAAAATAGTAAAACAATAAAACAATTATATATACAATATATACAAAACTGGTGCTATACAGATCTACACATTATATAAGATACTCGGCGGCTCTTATTTGCGGCCCACAACTTAACGGTGAAAGCGTCACAGCGCTCCATGGAATCTGGTAGGAGGACGGCACATCAAGATGGTATAGCGATGGTGGTGGCAGCGGCTCCTACCCGAAGGCCTGGTGGAAGAGCTCCGTCTTGCAGGCCCTGCGGAACTGCACTAGGTCCCGCAGGGCCCGGATCTCCTCCGGGAGCTCATTCCACCAGGAAGGAGCCGCCACCGAAAACGCCCTAGATCTAGTACAGGCCAACCTCGCCGTTCGGGGGGCTGGAACTTCCAACCGGTGAAGCCTCCCCGATCTCAGTGCTCTTGAGGGAACATACGGGAAGAGGCGGTCCCTTAGATAGGCAGGACCCAGGCCATTCAGGGCTTTAAAGGTAAGCACCAGCACTTTGAAGCGAATCCGGTATGCTATAGGCAGCCAGTGCAGCGCTTGCAGCACAGGCTGGATGTGGTCTCGCCTGGAAAGACCCATCAACAGCCTGGCTGCAGCATTCTGCACTAGCTGCAGCTTCCGGATTTGCGGCAGAGGCAGCCCCAAGTAGAGAGCGTTACAGTAGTCCAACCTCGAGGTGACCGTCGCATGGATCACAGTGGCCAGGTCATCTGTTCATGTCTTGCAGCTCTCAGACATCTGACGTTTATTCTATGTGGCTCTTACGTCGAGCAAGTTGGGCCACCCTTGCACTTGGGTTTTCCATACCACCATGTTGCAAGAGATAATGCAGCTACATATATTATTTTAAAGCAGTGATTTTTAGAATATTCCATTCATTTTCCCAATTGTCTCTCCATTTCAAGCCAAGGAGTAAAGGAGGGGAGAGAAGAATTCTTCTATTCCCCCACTGAATGTTTCCATTTCCCCAGGTTTTAACATCTCTATAAAAAGGTAAAGGTGGCTGCGGTGCTCATCTCTGTTTCAAAGCCGAAGAGCCAGCGCTGTCCGAAGACGTTTCCGTGGTCATGTGGCTGACATGACTAAACACCAAGACGCACGGAATGCTGTTACCTTCCCACTGAAGTGGTACCTATTTATCTACTTGCAATTTCTTGCTTTCAAACTGCTAGGTTGGCAGGAGCTGGAACTAGAGACGGGAGCTCACTCAGTCATGCGGCAACTCGGGTCTTGAACTGCTGAACTACCGACCTTCCACAGCCTGCAGTTCAGCGTCTTAACCACTTGAGCCACCACAGCTCTATAGTGAGCATTAAAAGTGAAGGAAAAAATAAAGAGTTTTTTTTAAATGCCGCTTCTTTAAAAAAAAAAAAATGGTGGGTTTTGCATATGAGGTGGTTCTTTGGGAACCTGCAACTAGACACTGTGGTTTGTTTGGTTTCCAAACTGCCCTGGAGGCTGAACTTTAAGCCTTCTTCCTCTGGCCAAGATTCTCCTCCAAAAACAGCTGAACTTTCAACTCCAAAGTTATCCAAACTGACCCCTCACCTCCTTCTCTGACCATGCTGCAAGGCATCTGCTCTCTTGCACAACTGTCAAAGTGCAAATGCACACATGGGTCACAACCGGATCTGTGGGTGTTCCATGATGCCATGACTACATGGCATAAGCACAGAGTTTAACACTGGGAATGTAACACAGTTTCTGGAGAATCTGATTTTTGTTTGTTTTTAAAGACAGGAGAAAGTTTCTAGTTCACAGGGTTGTGAAGGTATGCCTGAAGCTGAATGCGCAATGCTTGCTGAAATCTCAGGAGCTGCACATGTGCACACACAGTGCATCAGCGTGCATAGCTGACACACACAGAGTAGGAATGGGAAAGTATGGGGTGTTCCTGCCGCCTCCCATGTGCATGGGGATCACCCTTTCAATGTGTTTCAGAGCTGCATACAGGTATGTTTCCTGTTCAGGGCTACAAAGTATAAATAAATAAATGTATAGATAAATGTAAAGTGATACCCACTGGGGCAAACCCCATAAATTCTACATGCCAACAGGTTCTGAACTGGCAGTAAAGACGTTTGTCTTCCTCTCTTACTAGAACTCAAGGTTACCCTGATGAAACAAATCAGCAGTATTTTTAGAGCAGACTAAAGAAAATGCATTCAGCAAAGACAAACTATCAGTGTACAGAACTTGCTGCCCACAGATGCAGTGAATGTTGGCTTGTAGAGAGTAGAACAGTACATGAGGGAAGAGAGGTCGATCAGTAGTTATTTGCGATGCATACCAAATGGATCCTACATTTTCAGAGGCAGTACACCTCAATGCTTCATGTGCACGTACACTTATTCAGATAAGAATGTTTGAGATAAAAAAGTAGGGTGACAAAACTCAGTTAATACCCCTAAACTCAGTTAATACCCCTGAAAAGTGCCCATGCACATGAAAGCTTATACCCAGAATAGAACTTTTTTTTGTCTTAAAGGTGTCACCGGACTCAAACTGTAAACTTAAGACAGATGAAGATGGGTAACGGTGTTAAGTCTGCCTGTAGCAGCAGAAAAGAGCAAGAGCCCAGCAGCACCTTAAAGACTAACAGAATTTGTGGCAGGGTAGGCGCTTTTGTGAGTCACTGCTCACTTCTTCAGTGACTCACAAAAGCTCACACGCTCTGACACACATTTTGTTAAGTGTGCTACTGGACTCTTAAACTTAACACCATCTATGAAAAACACACCATAAGCAGCCTTGGGGTACCTGAGCTTCAGCGGCAGCCTCCCTCTCCTAAGCATCTGTGCCCTTCAACATAGTCACCGCTAGCCGCTCTGAGCCATTCGTCCAGAACGGTCCTTCCCCAGTTTAAACCCACTGGACCGAATCTCAAAGTATCAAATCCAACGGACTGAGAGAAAAGACAAGGAGATCTGAGACTGCCCCTGCATTTGCTCATCAGCCAGGTTAAAGATTCCTGAGTGCCGCGAAGCAGCTGAACCAAGGCAACACTGTAGGTTAGCAGGCCTGGCAATGAGGGTCCCTGCAACTTTCCCCCTTCAGTAGGAAGGGGAGCTTCTCTTAACACCTCAAAGAAGCAGCTGCGAAACCGCACAGATCCAGAGAGGCCTGTCTCCCCCCCTCCACCAGTTGCAAAAACTTCACCGCTTGTCAGTTCTTACACTGTAAGTTCAAAAAAAAAAAGAAAGAAGAAGGCCTCGTAAACAGCCTTATTTTAAAATAGAAGATGCACATGGGCAATAAATCTGACGCACGGAACAGGGCTGCCTTGTAAAAGAGCCACAGACATTTCTTTTTTTACTTGCCTTGCCTCCAGATACCCAGATGGCAATCCTTTGCAACACATGAACGGCCTCCAAGAACAGAAGCAGCGCTCTTCCCAGCTAGGTCACCGGGAGGCAATTATTACGTACCCCAAGCAAGTTGAAAGCAACAGACTAATGGGAAAAAGGATTCAAAGTCCTGCACCCTGTATAAACTCTATGAACCCCGATATGTAAGCTTATCTTGCAGGGAAGGGATAAAGTGACATGTCCCTGATCACGAGGAATCCTGCTCAAATGCCTGCCAGCTTCCAAGATTTCACCAGCTGCTGGCCAAGAGCTCTCAACACCTTCCTCCAAGGCCACAAGGGGTGGAATCTTGCCCATCTCCAAACAAAAGATCTGAAGAAGCCGAGTTCAGCAGCCAACGCAAACTTCGGCAGAACACAGAGGCGCTTCCTTAGAAGAAGAAGAGATCAGAGAGCACGAGCCATCCCACCACACGCAAGTCTGTCATGGTACAGCATCAAACCATCACTAGCCTAACCGGGCAAGGCAGATGCCTCCCACATCAACCCACCCGTGGTCAGCAGGAGGCCTGGAGAATGCCTCTGCTCCTCGCTTCAATTGGTAACCCAGAAGTAAACGAGGGATGTAAAGAAGCCACATATGTGGCAACTGGGTTTGGCAGCAGGCTATTTTTTTTTTGGGGGGGGGATGGGGACTGAGGCCTCAGCGATCCCCAAATAGCTGCCACCCAGAGCCTGGCACCATCCAGGGCACTGTCTGTCGAAAGCCAAGAGCAAGATCACTGTGGGAAGATGTCGCAGAGGGGAAAAACTACCAACAGCTCCCGCCAAGAGAGGCAAGGCGGGGTGAACAAGGCACACCCCCTCAGGTCCCTCGCCAGCCTGAGCGCAAGGCCGCACCATGCTGCTACTCCCCTTTGCTGGGCAGGCAGGTGAAGGAGCACACTTTGCTCTCTGAGTCCACCTGGCTTGCGGCAAGTGTGAGAGCTCCAAGATGACGCACGTTCCCTCGCAGGCACGGAGGAGGACAAAGAACCAAGATACGCACTGCATTAAAATAGCAAGAGTTTAAACATCAAGCTTTACCCGGTTCTCGTCATAAATAATCTGGACAATGCTGCGATGTTTCTGTTCCACGGGAGGAGGAGAGACAGGCCTCTCTGGCTCTGGGGGTTTAGCGGCTTCTTCTTCGAGTTGTTGCTAGGAGACAAAGGAGAGGGGGGGAGAAAAGGAGAGGGAAGGAATCAGCCATCCATACCGTGCCGCTCTCCCTGGTAATGAGTCACCAGAGATAAAGCCGGCATCTGGATCAACAGTTTGCTACCACACGCAATTTGCAAGGTATGAACAAGCGAGATTTAAGAGCGACCAGCTGTGCCATTCACAAACAGGAACGCATTTCTGTGGAGCCTAAAAATATGTAACAATTCTGCATTAAGAAGAGAACAACTTCCACTCCCTAAGCTGGATCCTGTGACTGGTATTAAGCATCCGGCATACAAATTTGCTAGAACTTCCTGTATGCAAATTTGCTGATTTAGCCTACTCAGTGCGACTTCTGGCAGTTAGGAAAGAAGAGCCAGGACTACAGTGGAGACCTGTCCCTTGACTAGTATAGACGACACTCTGCCCCCTTCACTCCTGAGGTTGACTGACACTTCTCAATCTAAAGCCCGTTTCACACAGGTAGGAGAAGGAGCTGGCGGAGCTCTGACGAGGCAGAAGGGACTGCGTGAGTCAAGATGGCAAGCACAGGATTCCAAGTAGATGACTGAATGCTCCTTTGCATAAAGCACTCCTTGCAAACAGAAGCTAGCATGGCAGGGAGAAAGATTCTTTGTTCTCTCCCCCCCACCACCACCCAAGACCGCTTTCCTTGCTACACAGGTTAACTATTGGCAGGGAGTATTTCATTTCGGGAAGCATTCCAAAAGGCACTCCCACACCTGCAGTCTAAAGTGGCGCAGTCCATTCTATCACCTCTGGGCTCTGCCACCTCATTCCTCTGCGACTTTAGAAGAACAGTGAACAGAAAAACAAAAACAGTGAATGGTGGGATTCTCATGTGCCAGAATTATCCTATACCACAGGCTGAACCTAGACCCCGTGCTGATCAGTAGACCCAATTAATAGGGCAGGTTCAGAGAAGGGGTATTCTTCTGCAGCCACAGAGGACCCCGAGGTTTCCAGAAAAATATGAAAATCCCCTCCCCAAGAGTGGAGGATTGTAAGTACTTCTGCAAGCAGCATAATGCAGCATCCTCTTTGGGGTGGCTGTGGGGTGGGTGGAGCAGGAGCTGCCACCCCAGCCAGGTGAGTGAGAGAGCAAGAGCTGCCACTGCATGTGCCAGGTAGACAGGCAGAGGGAAGAGCCAGAGGGCCCCTCCCCCACATAAGCGACACAGCCACTGGCTACAAGCAAAACCGGGAACATGTGGTGTAGAGAGCCAGTTTGGTGTAGTAGTTAAGTGCACGGACTCTGATTGGGGAGAACCGGGTTTGATTCCCCACTCCTTCACTTGCAGCTGCTGGATGACTTTGGGCAAGCCATAGTTCTGTCAGAGCTGTCCTTGATAAAGAGCAGTTCTCAGCCAGTGCTCTCTCAACCCCACCTACCTCACAGGATGTCTGTTGTGGGGAGGGGAAGGGAAGGAGTTTGTAAGCTGCTCTGAGACTCTGAGTGAAGGGCAGGGTATAAATCCCATCTCCTCTTCTTCTTCATTATAAGTAACGAAGTAACACCGTGTACAAAATGTTTACTGCATACTTATTATCTGAGTTTACTACCACATAGCATATGAGAGTCCAACAATATAAATTTTACAAACCCATACAAGACGTACAGGTTGCCAATTATTCAACGATATAAAGTTTCACAAGGAAGGAGCAATGAATGGCTAACACCTATTCCAAAGTTTGTAAAAGCATCCAAAAGGGTTTTTTTGGAGTTGCTCCCAATATTTAACCATGAAACTTTATATCTTTGGATAACTGGAAACCTGTACCTTTGAGTAATTGTTTGTAAAGTTTATACTGTTGGAATCTCATATGCTACATGATAGTAAACTAATAATTAATATGCGGCAAACATTTTGTACATGGTGTTACACAGCCATTGGTGGCAGCTCTATAAGCGGGCAGCCAACTGAGTGGGGGGGGGAGTATGGCATTCCTCACCACTGCAAATCTCTTGGACCCTCGCTTGCAATAACTGGCACATCTGCAGAATACAATCATGGGCCACACACACTCTAACAGATGCTGCAAGGCTTAGAAACCCCGACCTACAAGGGTCAGGCATCACTCCCCTTCTTTCTGCATATCCGTGGTACGTCAACTAAAGGAAAGAACCACGAGGTATTTCAACCCAGGACCTAGATACCATGGAGAAAAATCCTCCCAGGAGTCAGGTGATCCTGGACAACCAATCTCCTGCTGCTACCGAACTCAAGACCTGCTGCAATGCCTACACCATGTCTGTGGCGAGCAGGAAATATGTACGCTGTGAGGAAATGTCTGTGGTCTGGATGGTGTCAGCACTGGAGCAGGCCTTGGAGCTTCACAGCAGGCAGTGACAACACAGCCGACTGGACAACCAGAGAGGAGCAACACACCCCTGCTCGGTGTCAAGTTCTGCACGCAACTTTGAATCTTATCATTGTCCCATCCACCACCATTGCTTCAGCCAGACTCCCTCAGATAACAAGGAGCTCTTGCCTCCTGCTCGGGCTGCAGCTTCTTCTGCCTCCGCCCATCTCCTTTGCCTCAGGCCACCTGCTGGGAGCAGACCTTCATGGAGTACTCCTCGCTCAGCTTCTGACCCGACCCCCGGATAATTCAGTCCTCCTCCCTTCTCTGCAACAGACCTTAACTGAAAGGCATGCCCTGCCGTTCCTAATCCACGACAACTTACTTGCTTCTTCTTCAACTTGAGGATCTGCTGTTCCACTTTGGCAATCTCCCGATCCACCCGATCCATGCTCTGGATCAGCTCTTCCTTCGACAGCTTGGAGGGAGAAGCGTTCTGGTCTTCGCCGCACGCCTGACTGGACATTGGTGATGGCGGCCCTTCATGCTTGCCTCCAAAAGCTGGATCCTGGCGTTACGAAGGTGGGAGGAGGGGAGAAAGAAATTGCAAACTAAACATGCCAAGCAACTCCTTGCTAAGGTAGTCAGGCTACATGGAGCAACTTGTTGCTTGTCATTCTCTGTCATGCTTAACTGGCAAATTATCTTCAGGCTCTTTTGGCCCTAGTCGTAGTGCTGTTAAGAGGGCTGTTGAATTTCTCCCCTTACAAGTGGGGAACTGAGGCCAAGGGAATGGACTTGCCTAATGCCACATGATGAATCCATAACTGGGGAGCAGCATCAACAGAGCATTCAGATCTGCCCACCTCTTTTCCTACTTCTTAGGGGTAGAGCGCAGAAGGTCCGGGAGCCCCAATTTTATCCCCAGGAACATCCTATCTAATCCTGGATCCCACATCCTTAGCACGGGGCCACAGATGCAAAGGACTCAACCCCACCAGGAACAGACAGAGTGTTTCTGTCATGTATCAGTTTGAGAGCCAGTTTGGTGTAGTGGTTAAGTGCGCGGACTCTAATCTGGGAGGACCGGGTTTGATTCCCCACTCCTCCACTTGCACCTGCTGATGTGACCTTGGGTCAGTCACAAGCTCTGGCACAGCTGTCCTTGAAAAAGAGCAGTTTGTGTCAGAGTTCTCTCAGCCCCACCCACCTCACAGGGTGTCTGTTGTGGGGAGGGGAAGGGGAAGGAGTTTGTAAACCGCTCTGAGACTCCAAGTGAAGGGTGGGGTATAAATCCAATCTCTTCTTCTTCTTCTTCTACTTCATTCCCATCGGCTAGAAGGACAATAGTACAGGGAACGCAGACTTAATGAGAGAGCTTTGCCCAAGCCTCTGTTGCTGTTCACTCTGGGATCAAAGGACCTTTGCCTGCATCACTCACTGGGCAGCAAGTCAATGGATACAGCCAACACTGTTGGCCTTTCAGTTGTCACTCAATTCAAAATGTGACCTCTTTTAAAAGTAAGGCACTGACTAGGACTTTGACTGGACCTGGACCTGAACCTAGGACCCTATCGACCACTGGTGGAGTTCCTGGACAGAATAGTTTAATCTAAGGGTAACTCACACTTGCAAAACACATCCTTCATCAATGATCTGCATTCTCCTCTCCAAGCTTTATCTGGGCATGTTTGTATAGACACCCCAACTCACTCCAACGGTGTGGAGGTTTCAAGGGCACTCATACCACCACAAGTGGATGCACTGAAGTTTGATTCCCTGGCCCCATCCGGCCCACCTTGGTGCAGAGTCACACTTCAAACTGCAAGCCATCGTTCACTTTGTTTAGAAAAATAAAGGAACAATCATTCGGCCAGGAGTTGGCTTTACCTTCTTTATGTCCGCAGATCGTAACCCCTCTTGCAATGGGTGGACCAAGGGCAGGACTGTGGAAGCACTGACCCGCTGGAAGGGGGCATCGGAAACTTGGTCCAGCCGCGGCCTCTTTGACTCCAGTGAGTCATGATCGGCTTGTGATGGGCCAGGGTGAAACTGTGGCTCGTAGGCTGACCTCCTTTCCTGAGGCCTAAGGAATGAACAATAAGAACAGGTGACTCCTTGCCCCTTCTAGTTATTACAACAGGACCAGGGTACTGGAAAGACCAACTGCCCCCAGAGTTCCACATCACAGCCCTTTCTTTGCACTTCCCACCTTTAGAAGCAAGGCAGGTGGTCACAAAGGACATGGCCTGCTCCCTGGTTACCCTCCCCAAGTTGGAAATGCCCTCCTTTCATTCAGTTCCTGGCCAAGACTTTTTTAAAAACAAGTTTCACCAGGCTTTTGATTGAGCAGGATGTGGCTTTGATCCTCCTTTTGATTTTCCGCTTTTTATCACGTGGCAATTTAAAAATCAGTGGCTCTCATTTTAGTTGCTACTTTTTAGTGTTCTCAGTTGTCTTGTTTCACTGAAGGTGGCTTTGCATTTTGTTTTCAAATCTGTCATGGTAACTGTTGGTTTGATTTGATGGACTTGCGTTATCAACCACTTTTGAACAAACAAGTAAGATGTGTTCGTGTGGCGACTAAATAAATGGGGCAGCCACAACAAGAACACCAGAAGCCACAGAAGCCACCATGAAAGACAGCGAGGAGTGCCTGGCAAGCGCTTATATACGTCCAGTTTCGAGGAGGACCCAATAGAGAGTTTGGGAGCGGAAATAAAAGCGAAATGAAATTAATACCATTCTCAAAGTTGGGGACCTCCAAGGCATGAAAGGAAGAGGATTTATAGTGCATGAACTGAGTATGTTAACAGCAACCCGAAGGAGGATTTAACAAGCCGGAAGTAGAAGACAACAGAGGAAGCCCCTGCACGTCAGCGATAGTAAAAGTGCCCAGCACGCAAAGAAGCGGTTCTGACTGTGTCCAGAAGAGATTTTTCTTTTTTTATTAACAGAAACTCAAGGGAACTCAAGGGAACATTAACAGAAATTCAAGGGAACATTACTAACATTAACAGAGAATTATATGTGACTGAACTAAGAAAAGAAGTTTGACAACACACAGAAGAAGCCCAAGAAGATTAATTGGACATTACTAACAGTTTAATTTACCAGTTTATATATCACTCAGCTTTCTCTTTCTCCCGCTGTCTACCCTTCCCTTTTTTTTTCTTTTAAGCGAAATACCTCCCCTTTTTAGGGGAGCTAATAAAATCTTTACAAAAAAAAAAAAAAAAAAAAAGAAGCCACCATGAAAGGAGGGATCTGGTGTAGCTATCCTGCTAAAGGACCGAGGCAGCCAAGGACCCATGTTCTTTAACCTTTACAAGAAGTACTGAAAACATGTATCCATCTGCACATTTTTCTTTTGAGGCGGTTGCCCTGTGTCAGGGCTACAGCCCTTAAGACAGTACGTTGGAGACATACATAACTTGTACAACAACAAAAAAATTCCAAGTTCTTTCCACAGAGAACTAGGTGGTCAGAGAGAAGGGTTCTAGTTTAACACTCTTCCATGCGGAGATGACAGACACACACACACAAACGCATTGCACCTTGTCCTGACCTGGATGGCTAACCCAATCTCATCAGATCTTCGAAGCTAAGTAGGGTTGGCTCCGGTTAGTATTTGGCTGAGAGACCACCAAGGAAGTACATGGCTGCTCCACAGAGGCAGGCAATGGCAAACTACCTCCGAATGTCTCTTACCTTGAAAACTCTACAGAGTCACCATAAGTCAGCTGTGATTTGACACCACTTTCCACAACTACATCTATCGTACTTTACAGAGTCAGAAAAAACATTTCAGTGTTCCAATCTAGTTTCGAGTAAGCATTTCTGAACCCTTGTCTGTCCCTTTTATAATAATGGACTGCATTCAAGAATGCCACATTCCAAATTCTCTTGTATCAATCCACCACTGAGGGCAGATCCTTTGATCGCCAGCAATTTGTTTCACTCCTTCTCATTGCAGTTAATATAGATGTAATTCTACATCAACTTAAAATTCATAAAGAAACTTAACAAGTACACCTGAGGATCTGATGGCATTTCACATCCTGTAAACTCATATCAATTTTAAGGGGGCTAAATTCCATCTTGACTGCACTTTTAAAAACTCTCCTTCATAGGTAGAGTGTCTGGAGACATTTTCCCAGATCGAGCCTCGTTCCCGCTGTAGTACGTGTTGTCCAATATATTTTCCCACGTACTTTGATATTCTTGGTCTTTATTCTGCAAACTAACCAAGAGTTTGCAAATTTCTGCCACCTGACCCTTTAGAGCTAATTCTTCTATCAATAACTCATACGAAAAAAACCTCACCCCCTCCTAGCCAGTAATTAATCACATTCAGCTTAAGACTGGCACTGGCAGATCATCTCTCCAAGCAACTGAGGCACACAAAAGTCTTGATTATAAACCACTGACGCTAATGGAGATGAAACCTGGACTTAGAATAGTTTTAGACTTTGTCTGGCCAGTCAAATTAGCATGCAGTAGGCTTTAACTTCTTCCATCTCTTATCTTGATGCCACAATACTGATTCCGTTTCCCCCCCCCCCTTTCATTTCATTTCACCTCCACTCCCATTTCCTCCAGGGAGCTCAGGCTGGCATACAGGCTAGCTGCGGGACCTCTCACAGTTCTGCAGGGCCTGCAAGACGGAGCTCTTCCGCCAGGCTTTCAATTAGGAGCCGCCACCACCACCAACTACCTCATGGGAACATAGGGTATTGGAATGGCCCATCACAAGATCGAGCCACAATGCTTTGACTGACTGTACCGCCGAATCGGGCTCGGAGCACCATCTATAGGTTACCCTCTTGCTCTGACTGAATGCTTTAATAACATCGCTGAGCATTTTATTTTGATAGTGGTTGCTTTTATGTGTTTTAGGTGTTTTACTGTTTTATACTGGCACATGGTGCCCTTTTTGTGAGTGGTTAAGTGTGCGGACTCTAATCTGGGAGAATTCCCCACTCCTCCACTTGCACCTGCTGATGTGACCTTGGGTCAGTCACAAGCTCTGGCACAGCTGTCCTTGAAAAAGAGCAGTTTCTGTCAGAGCTCTCTCAGCCCCACCCACCTCACAGGGTGTCTGTTGTGGGGAGGGGAAGGGAAAAGGAGTCTGTAAGCCGCTCTGAGACTCCAGGTGAAGGGCGGGGTATAAATCCAATCTCTTCTTCTTCTTCGCGGGGAGGGCGGGGTAGAAATATAATAATAAAAATAAATAAATAAAAATACAAGAGTCTCCCACCTCCGTTTTACCCTGACAACAATCCTGTGGGGTACATTAATGAAAAGGAGATTGGTGAGCTGCAGCTCAAGAAGCTAGTGTCGTGCTGAGTGTGAATCTCAACATAAGACTACCCGACGGATCAGCCAGTACACCACACTGGGTCACAGAAGCCCAAACACAGGTTGAAGGCCTCCATGAGAACAGAGTTGGAGGGAAAGGCAAAAACCCCCTGCGAACTCTGGAAAACATGCACAATTTCTCCTGCTACCTCTATGGGAAGGGCTTGTAGAGCACGGAGGCCCACACCCATGCCCTCTGGAGGCCCAACCCCACGCCCTCTGAAATCTTATCAAGCAGTGCCTCTGAGATTTCACAAGGCACTGCTCGTACTGAGCCTCCATTGCGGGGAGGGCGTGGTACAAATGTGATTAATAAAAATAAAATACCCATGTGAAGGAATCTTCGCAATCACAACCATGAGGACGTGGAGCAGTGTTCCCTCTAAGCTGAGTTAGTGCGAGCTACCTCACAGTTTTTTAGCCTCTGGCTCACGCGTTTCTTCTTAGCTCAGGAAGGAGGGCTCCAGAGCAAACTAGTTTGTGCAATGGCCAAATGGCTCGCTCACAACTTTCATGCCAGTAGCTCACAGAGTAGAACTCTTGCTCACAAGATTTCACAGCTTAGAGGGAGCACAGACTTGGAGCTCACTTTCTTAAAAGAAGAAAGAAGTTGAGATCCTCACAGAAGCTGAATGCTAGTTTATGGACTCATGTAGCGGAACCACTAAGTACACACCATCCTGTACAAAAATCCCCTGAATTGTTACATATTTTTTTTAAAAAACCCTAAATACTCACCTATCTGAACCAGGGTGAAATTCAGAAAGCAAGGAAGGCCTCCGCCGGAGTTGCTGCTGTTGCTGCTGCAGAAGCTGGGTTGCTTGGCTGACTTCCAAGTGAGAAGTGCGAAAATCAGGCACAGCAAACTCCTAGAAACAGTACGGGCATCAGGGTGGAATGTTTGAGATTTAAAGACGGGGAAAACTGTTTTTTTACAAAGCCATTAACTGGAAGTATCTTTCAGTCTAGGATCCCACTGAACTACCCAAGTGCTCCTGTGAAGAACTCCTTCCTCTGGATTTGTGCTACAAAGACCCCACCACCAACAGCCAACAGCCCACGGAGGGACGGCCAAATCTGCAACGGGGGCCAGCAACAAGGACCATGCATGGTTTTGCAGGCTCAAAAGTTCCTCAAATTCACCATGCAGAGGCGACAGAAACCCCCAAAAGTTGATGCAGTGAGCAGCTGAGCTGAGCGGAAGCCTGAGCAAAGTTGCCTGTTAGAGGATGTGGGGGGGGGGGTAGATGCGGTACAAGCGGCTCCCCTCCTCCCACACCCCCAAAAGAAGAGTGCTTCAGCCCCATAAGGGACTGATTGAAGAGCCGTGTTTCTATTTCGGGAGCCTGGAACAGAAACACAGTTCTTTGAGCCCAGGAGCAGTGGAATTCAGGTCAACAGAGAAAACAGCCCTATAGGTCTGGAGTTGGAGGTCAGACTCAGGAGATGTCTTTGCTCATCACTAACCACCAACCCCCCACAGGTCACTTTCACTACAGAGCTTGATTTCAGCACTTCAGAGTTTTAAGAGCCACCTTGCTATTTCCCTGCTCCAAAAAAACCACAACGCAGCTCTTTAAGCCTCACTTTAAGCCTCACCGTTTATTTGTCCTACAAGTGGGGATCAACGACAAAAGATGATGGATTGTTTTAAACTTGCTCCCCATGAGCTCCATAATCCACACCCCACTGTCCATTTTCAAAGTATGGTTGAATTTAAGCAGCACATGAGAGCAAGCAAATTTAAAAAAACCAAATAATTGCAAGATTTTATTGCCAGTCCCAACCTTTAAGAATTTATTTCTAAATTAGGTATTTTTCCTTTGTCTCCTTTGGAAGAAAGACTTCCCCAGGCTTGGCGGTGGGGGGACTTTCCGATTTCTAGTAAAAAGGACCCACGGGTTGTTGCCACTAATGCTCTCCACCTCCCTGAGCTTAAACATCTGTAACCTGGCCCCCCTTCCTTATGGGTAAAAGGTAAAGGTTTCCCTTGTTCGAAAGCCAGTCGAATCTGACTCCATTTCCAAGCCGAAGAGCCAGCGCTCTCCAAAGACACTTCTATGGTCATGTGGCCGGCATGACTAAATGTTGAGGCACATGGAAAGCTGTTACCTTCTCACCGAAGCGGTACCTATTTATCTACTTGCAATGTCTTGCTTTCGAACTGCTAGGCTGGCAGGAGCTGGGGCCAGGGATGGGAGCTCACTCCATCACGCGGCACTCGGGTCTCGAACTGCCAAGCTACTGGCCCCCGGTATGCAGCTTCAGCATCTTAGCCTCTGAGCCACTGCAGCCCACTCCTTATGTGTACGTATACACGAAAACGAGTTATCTCCCAGATTCCTATTTATTCCAACTCTGGCTTGGCCAAAACCCACCATGCAACAGTTTTCAACTGTCCACCCTATGCAGATCTTTTTCATCGCTATCGGCAGACAAATTCTGAATTGGAACAAGTTTTCCCTTCCTGCAACTGATCTGCATGTAGAAGGAGCCGCTTGCATGTAATCAGGAAAACACCCATCATTATGGCAGGTAGCAGAGAGCTTCGCCCCCATTAGCAACTGTACCCCAAACAGTCCACTGGCGTGAATGGGAGATACATATACTCCTCACACCCAGACAGCCTGTAGGACAGTGGACTAAACATGCCCCTCGGGGGGGGGGGAGCACATTTTTGAAATCATGTCCTCTGAGAAAGCTACAAAACTGCATCACATAATGGGAACCACTGAGAATCAGGCCCACTTCTGTCCCCACAGCCCCACCCTGGCTTGAATTTCTTGGGTCATGCGTGATTATTACAAAGAGACAAAACCCGGAACCCAGCTTTTCTATAGAGAAAAGTGTGACCAAAGCAGATCCACCAAGGCTTCCCCGGACCACAACGGAGCGCCTGCCACTTGCCTGTTGGTGTCGGCTCCCAGGGAACGTGTACTGGACCGAGTGTGTCGGGTAACGGTTCTGTTCTGTGCTAAACGCTCCTTGGTTAGGAGGGTAGCCTGAGCTTGACATTATTGGAGGAGGAGTCTTTGCTGAGCTGTGAGGTCAAGACTGCTGAGCAATCATGTTTCCAGGAACCCGCCTAGAGGAAGAACAAAGAGATGACAGATAAGAAGCCACCAAAGACTGAACTGCAACCCTAAACACATTCCAGCCACAATTCACCTAAGTGTAACCAGGATTACCCACCTCTAGCTTGTGGACAGCAGAACTGATTTATAAAGGCACAAAAGCTTGCAGATGAACGATTTTTCCAACCCCAACCTTTACTTATTATATGCAATATAGGGTTTCACCGCGTGGTTCTCATAATCTTGATTTATTGCCTATAAGTATACTGTGTTTTCAAATCTGTCCTCTAATTCTATTGGTTGCATGTCTTACACTGTTTCTATGGTAGTCCACCTTGAATCTCAGAAAGCAAGGCGGGCTAGAAATGAATAAATTAATAACTATACCAAAATCAACCAACACAACGCAGATCGCAGACTGGTAAAAAGCAGAAAGAAATGTATTGCACAGAAGAGACCCAGGGCTCTTGGGTGTTAAGCATTTAGAGTGTGTGCACACAGCCAAGCCTTGGTGCTGCTTTGCATCTAGTATACCAAACGGGCAGCAACACAGCATTGTACAAATGCCAGCCTGACTCTGCGCCAGCAGTCTGCCAGCCAACTGTGCTCCTGGGAAATCAAAGCTCCTTCGTGAGAAGATCAGAAAAGGACGAGCTTCGCCAAACAATACGCTCACCCCTCATGATTGGCATTCACCCACAGAGAACAATAGGTGTCTTTTAAATCAGCCTCTCCCAACCTGTAAGTGGCAAAGCTTGTGAAAGAGGGTGCCAGGCTCTAGCAGTTTTATTGATCAGGACATGCTCTGTTTTTTGCTTTTTTGTTTTTTTTTAAGTGGGTCACTGCACCAAGTAAATCTGGAGTTGTGGTTCACCATACCAAAGGGTTGGGAACCACTGCTTTTAAGGCATGCTGTTGCTTCACACAGGCAACAAGAAATCCCAATGGGCCTGGCCAGTGCCAGGCATGAACACAGCTGTACGCCCTAGAAGAAGTGCAGGAATCCTCTCCAAGGTTGGTGTTGACAGAGATCCCTCAAACCCAAGGGTGCCAAGAATGCTAGACTAATATGTCACCTGTGACAGCCAGGCAAAAGGGTGGCCACCAACATCATCGCAAGAACACCAGCTGGCGCAAGTACAGACAACCAGATAATCTTCTTCAGCATGGAGATGATATACCATCTAGTTCTTGTTCCTGCTACAAGTGCACAGCAGAAACAGAATATCCACCCGGTAGATTTTCGTGCACTTTCCTTGCCTTAGTGCTCAGCAGCCACCATTCTCTACCACCCTGGAAGTCTTTTCTAAAAATAAATAAATGGCAACAGCTATTGAGATGTAGCAGAACATTTTAACAATCTATTGTTGCGCTAGTGGCACCTTTAAGGCCAACAAAGCTTGCCCTGCCTGGATAGCCCAGGCAAGACTGATCTTGTCAGATGTCGGAAGCTAAGCAAGGTCGAATACAACGTGGGGCTCATAACACTGGCCTACCTTCCAGGGCTGTCACTAGGTGTACAGAACGACTGTATGCAAATATACAACAATGGATATCAAAGGTGTTCACATCAGGGTCCCGATCTGGATATCCCAGGCAAGACTGATCTCGTCAGATCTCGGGAGCTAAGCAGGGCCGACTCTGGCAGGTATTTGCATGGGAGACCTCCTTGGAATACCAGCAATCGGGAGGCGGGGGCAGGCTTTATTCAGCCACCTCTCTGAATATCCTCCAGGCTCCACTAGGGATCAGTCACCAGAGGTCGCCATGGCTTCCAGGTGCACACACTCACATGCTCATGCATAAAAAATAAAGACCAACCAAGTTTAATTCTGGGTATAAGATTTTGTGTGTATGCACACTTCTTCAGATAGATTCAGGTGGGTAGCCGTGTCGGTCTGAGGCAGCAGAACAGAGCTTGAGTCCCTGGTGGCACCTTGAAAAGCAGCCAAGGTCAACCTGTGTGCAGGCAGGCAGGCAGGCAGGCAGGCATTCTGTTGCTTCAGACCAACATGGCTACCCACCTGAACCTATCTGAAGAAGTGTGCAGGCAACTTCGCCAGGTCAGGCAGCTGGCTTCCTACCTGTCTCGCCCCAACCTAGCCACGGTAATCCATGCAATGGTCACCTCCAGGCTAGACTACTGTAATTCACTTAACACGGGCCTGCCCTTGCACCTGACCCGGAAGCTCCAACTGGTCCAAAATGCAGCCGCACAGGTCCTTACCAGGACCCCTCGGACAGCACACATTCAACCCGTGCTGCATGAGCTGCACTGGCTTCCAGTGGAACATTGGATCGAGTTTAAGGTTTTGGTTTTGACCTTTAAGGCCCTTAGCGGTCAGGGACCTATATACCTGGAAGAGCATTACACTCAGGGAATAAGGACTTCCTGGTGGTCCCCAGCAAGAGAGAAGTCCGGTTGTCCTTGACCAGGGCCAGGGCTTTCTCAGCTCTTGCCTCCACCTGGCGGAACACTCTATGGGAAGACATCCATGCACTGTGGGAGTTGTTACCTTTTCGCAGGCCAGGTGAGGCAGAGATGTTCCTCCAGGCCTTTGGACAGTAGCGGGGCACCCTTTGGCACTCTCATACATTTCCCCATCCCTTGTACCGTCCCCAGGAGGCTGGGGAGCTGGAATTTTTTCCGCCATCTTGTATATTGTATATATACTGCTTTATCTATTGATATTTATTCGTTGTTTTAGCTTAGTTTTAACTTCAGATTTTGTATACTATTATGTTGTAAGCCACCCTGAGCCCTTCTTGCAGGGAAGGGCGGTATGGAAATCCAATTTAAAAGGTAAAGGTTCCTTTGCTCGAAAGCCAGTCGAATCTGACTCTAGGGTTGCGGTGCTCATCTCCGTTTCAAAGCCGAAGAGCCAGCGCTGTCTGAAGACGTTTCCGTGGTCATGTGGCCGGCATGACTAAACACCAAGGCGCACGGAACGCTGTTCCCTTCCCACCCAAGTGGTACCTATTTATCTACTTGCAATGTCTTGCTTTCGAACTGTGAGGTTGGCAGGATCTGGAACTAGAGACGGGAGCTCACTCCATCATGCGGCACACTCGGGTCTCGAACTCCCGAACTACCAGCCTTCCACAGCCTGCAGTTCAGCGTCTTAACCACTTGAGCCACCGCAGCTCCCAAAAAAATCCAATTTAATAAATAATAAATAAATATCGTTGGTCTTAAAGGTGCCAGTGGATTCAAACTGTGTTCTGATGCTTCAGACCAACACGGCTACCCACCTGAATCTATCTGAAGAAGTGGGCGTGCGCACAAAAGCTTATACCCAGAATTAAACTTGGTTGGCCTTAAAGGTGCCACTGGACTCAAACTTTGTTCTGCTGCTTCAGACCCACCTGAATCCATTGTTGAGCTAGTTGCTCTGTATTTCCAACTTTCAGGTGTGTTTTTTTAAAAGATAAAGCTGAAAATTCACAGCAGTGGACTATTCTGTTCTTTCACATTAGCAATTGCCAGTCCTTTGAAGAAGCCCCTCAGTGGTAGGGTGGCTATGGGAAGCTGAGGCAAAGAAAATGGTGCCAATGTAGCTTGAGGGTGCGCCCGGATCCAGGCCTATTGCTGAGTAAGCAGGTTGCCACTGAGGCCAGGAGCACCTTCTGGCAGCTTTGACAATGGGCAGAAAAGATCTGGCCATTGTGGCACGTGCCCCGGTTAACATCTAGATTAGTTTACTGCAATGTGCTCTACATGGGACTGCCCTCGAAAAGTGTTCAGCAACTTTAGCTGGTACAGAATGCTACTGCCAAGATGTTCACTGGAGTGGGTCATAGGGACCGTGTCATTCCAGTCCTGGCTTGACTACACTGGCTCCCGTTTCTGGGTCCAATTCAAGGTGATGATGTTGATCTTTAAAAGCCGCATATGGTTTGGGACTAGCAAACATTAAGGACCACCTAGTCCCCATACATGCCCACTCAAGCAACACAGTCATTTCCTGAGGCCCTGCTTCTGGGGCCCCCACCGTCTGGGGACAGATGGGTAGCAACTCAAGACAGGGCCTTCTCACTCGTGGCACCAAAACTATGGGACTCTCTCTACCCAGGGATATTCATCTGTTCTATCACAGCTGAAGACTTTTTGTTTGTTTGTTTTGGCTGGCATTCTTTTAGTGACTTCTCCTTCCTACCCTATGTTTTAAGTGCTGTCTCTGCATATATGCATATATGCATATATGCATGCATATATACACACACACACACACACATATGCACTTAATTGGTTTTTTCATCCATTTTTATAATGCTCTGTTTTAACTGTTAGCCACCTTCAGGGCTCTGAAGGGGTAGAAATGTGGGATACAAGTTTTGTAATAACAAGAACAACTTGCCCCAGCCTGAGATAGGAACTCTCAGGCTGGGGCAAGTGATACTCTATATTCTTGGTGCTGGGGGGGGGCAACACTGGGAGGGCTTCTAGTGTCCTGGCCCCACTGGTGAACCTCCTGGTATTTCTGGCCACTGTGTGACAGTGTTGGACTGGATGGGCCATTGGCCTGATCCAACATTGGCTTCTCTTATGTTCTTATGTTCTAACAACAACAACAACAACAACAACTACAACAACAATAATAATAATAATAATAATAATAATAGGTGGGCAGGACCTCCAAAGGTATGCACCTTCCCAACCACGTGGCATGCGAAGGCCCTGCGATTGTGACCTTTTGAAAAAGAGCATGTCAGATCAAGTTTGAAAAGATCACAGCACAGCAGGGGAAACCCCAAGAAAGTGGGTGATCAGGGAACATCACCACGTGGATGTCAAACAGGGCGAAACTTCCGAGTAGAAGCAGCCACAGACACAACCCAACTGACCTTTCTTTTTTTTTCTTTTTCTTTTAATTTATTTTTATTCTTTTACTTATAAATACACATAAATACAAGAGGAGGAAATTAAAGCTCAAACATTAATAAACTATATCCTTTAAATACAATACAAATGATGACCGCTATACATATTGTATCAGCTATGACCCAACATTGATCTTCAATCAAATACTTGGTGACCAAATATATAACTATGTAAAACTCGTTTAAACTGAAGACTACTCTTCTCATTAACACCCTCAGTTGGTACTACATATCGTACAGTGTATGTGGACCTACACCTCTTGTTCAAAAACTGAAGATATCTGGCGCGCCCAACTGACCTTTCTCAACCCTGAAGATGACAGTAAGTGCACGCAGAATCCACTCTCCCCATCACACCAGTGAAAAGATCTGTGGCCACCAATCCATACTACTCAATGTCAAGGATGACGCTGCATGAAATAAGAATTAACATGATTTTTTATTTAGTTCATTTATACCCCATCTTTCTCCCCACAGGGACCCAAAGAAGCTTACATCATTCTGCACTCCTCCATTTTATCCTCACAACAGCCCCAATGAGGTAGGTTAGGCTGGAAGTTATGCAACTGGCCCAAGGTCACCAATCAAGGCTTCCAGGGCAGAGTGGGGATTCCGAACCTGAGTCTCCCAGACGCTAGTCCAGCCAGCGCCCTAAATACAACACCACACTACCTGAAGGCTGAATTTTGAACTGAGCAACAACTGAAAGGCCAGCAACACCCCCCCCTCCCATTCATCTCTGGGAGCCAGCAGCTCAGAAGGGTGGCTGAGTGTTCGGCAGAGCTTTTGTGTGCTGGTCTTTGGCCGCCTCTTCCCCAAAGCAGAGCAAGACAGAACCTCTGTCAAAAGGCACCCAGCAAACTTCCATGGAAGAGTGGGGATTCAAACCAGGGTCCTTCAGATCCCAATCTGACACTCTAACTAGACACTGGAGAGTATCAATTTACTTCCCACAATTAGAAAAGATATCTTTACACATTTTTCTCCTATTTTGACATATTTATTGTTTTACAACTGCTGACCTTATAACCTTAGCTGGTTATTTAGTTCTGTCTTTGCACAGAATGATGAGTCTGCTTATCGGGACGAGGTGGAACGGCTTTGTGCTTGGTGCAGGGAAAATAATTTGATCCTCAACACCACCAAGACCAAGTTTTTGGGAGTGATTATTGAGCAAAACTTGACCTGGAGCGCTAACACCACTGCTCTGGTGAAGAAGGCCCAGCAGAGGCTCTTTTTTCTCAGACTTTTAAAGAAAAATAACTTGAGTGAGAAAATACTGATGTCCTTCTATCGTTGCTCAATAGAGAGCATTTTAACATACTGCGTCTGTGCCTGGTTTGCCAGCTGTACGGCTGTGGAGAGGAAAGCACTCCAGAGAGTTATCATCACAGCCCAGAAGATTATTGGCTGCCCTCTCCCGTTCCTGGAGGAATTGTATAGTTCTCGATGCTTGAAAAAAGCAAAGAACATTCTGCAGGATTTGTCACACCCTGAACACTCCTTGTTTGAACTGCTGCCTTTGGGTAGAAGATACAGGACAATTAAAACAAGGACAAACAGATTAAAAAACAGTTTTTATTCGAGAGCTATTATTGCTTTAAATGCTGTATGAAGTTGGAATTTGGGTGACATTGGTGGTTTAGGTTGCAATGTGAACCTTAAGGGAGTTATGGGATGGTTGTGAATGGTTGTGTGAGTGTATATGTGTATGGCTGTAGATCACTGAAATGATTGCACCTTTAATTTTGTTGTACTGTGTACAATGACAATAAAGTATATTATTATTATTATTATTATTATTATTATTATTATTATTATTATTATTATCTTCATCATGTTACATGTTAATTTGCTGTTCAGCCCGTCTATAAGTTTGAACCTTACCTACCATTCCAACGTATCTGGAAAAGCGTGCATGCACACGAAAGCTCATACCTTGAATAAAACTTTGTTGGTCTTAAAGATGCCACTGGACTCTAATTTTTTTTTCCACAATACTTTTTTAATTTATTGCAGTAATATTCAATAGCATGAATCAAAGTAGGTAACATACACAACTACATTTGCAGTAAAATATGTACAGAAAGATATAACAATAACAATCCACTCAAGGTTAAGTCAATTGGGCTAAACATTGGCTTACTGACTCTCAAAGGCACCTGAAGTATATAACTATACTAAATTTGCTAGTAGCGATTACAGTGAAAAACAAAATATACAAGTACTGGCCTCAAATCTTATACTAGCCACGACTATCTGTAGGTTAAAAGTTTAAACTTGGTCTCAGATAAAGTTTCTACATCCATCTTGTCAGTTTCAAGCTTGTCTATGATAGGATACCATATGCTGGACTCCAAATTTGTTCTACTCTTACTACACCACGCTGACACTTTATTATCCTATATACCTTGCTGCTCCAAAAGCAAGATGCCTCTTCATTTTCAGAACAAGTGGCAGACCCATTCCAGCAAATTTCCAAATTTCTGCCCCTCGTGGCTCGGCGATCATTATGCAGATAACACCATGATTTCCAAACCCACTCCTAATTTAGAGTCCAGCAACCCACCAGACTGGACTAAACCTCCTAAGCAAGATCAGGCCGGAAGGGCAACCTGTTTTCTGCCACCACAGAATGAGCTCTGTGATCAAAAAGACATTTCTACAGGAGCTCTTAGTATCTAACT